AAAGCAGGAGAATCATGAGTTTGAAGCCAACCTAAGGTACAAAACAAGATTCTGTCTCAAGAAAAAGAGGGGAAGGGGAAAGTAGTAAAACATGATCCTGGTGGAAAAATTCATAGAAACCATGGAAGGTTTAATGACAAAAAAATCAATAGAAATTATTCATTTACTAGTCTCAGATGAAGTGCACCTTTTAAAATTCCTTTCTTTCAAGCATGCTTAAAAGGAGAGTTTGAGCTTGGATAAAGACAGAATCAGATCTTTGATCCTCTGGTTATTGATATACATATATGTGCTAAAACATCCTCATGAGAACCTGGCCCTTCTCAGGTTTTGCTCTGGACAGCCCAGTGATTTAGCTCTCTACTCCAGCTCATTGATTTTGTTAACATTTATCACACAGTGACAATAAGTTTGATTCATGAGAAGGGAAAATAAAGAACTATTTTCATGTTGAAAATTTAGGAGAAAACAGATAATTACCAGAAAATTCTTGAAATTATTACTGTTCTAAAATGAAAATTCAGTACTCATACTCAGTGACAAAATACACACAGAATAAATTTTCAGTTTTTCCTTGGCTTTGAAATTATATTGATTATTAGCAAAAAAAAAAAAAATAAGTGTCAGAACAAAACTCTAACAATTAGGTAATGATTTACTGGAATATGGTGTATCTACTTGAAAAACTCGCACCACAGCAATTAAAATAAACATTAGGTAAAACATTAAGGAAACATGAGAAGTATTTTTAATATAACACTAACTAGAATACATCACTATACACATACTATGTTTTCAATTAAGTGAAAAATGTGGATTACTACAGAACAAAGATTAGGGGATGATAATACTTGGGAGTATAAGATTGAAAATTGTAGCTTTTTGTTCCCCCAAACATTATTATTATTAAAGCTTAGTAATAACAAGCTCTGTATTTCAAAAAGCACTCAAAATTATATTTGTTTTATATGTTGTTATACATTAAGTTGCCTTTATCCAAAACACACCTGTTGTTTTGAGGATAGTAGATGAAATCTAATATCCTTATTCTTCCTAGAGACTAGTTATGTCTATTTCATCAAGTAAATTAGCATTAAAATTAATACTATTAGCTTTTAGAAATAGAATTGTGTATCTCAGGTATTATTTAAAGCAAGCAGAAGTTAAAACAATAAAAGTACATCTGTAAAATAAAATAAAATAAAACTTTCAAGTTTCTTCAAAGGGTTGTACTTATTAACGTCTTATTACATATATTTTATTTGCTATTGCATGATAGGTCTTTTAGAGTTTTCATTTAAAAATGTAACATCAAGAAAGGAAAATTAAAGGTTTAGCTTCATAACAAAGAATCATCTATTTGACTAGTAACTATTAGAAGGAAAATTGTTCTTACCAAGCAGTTATCAGGGAAATGAAGGACTTGTAAAGAAAGGAGAGGGAAATATAATTTAAGATGGGAAGAAATAAACTAATAATAACACTAAGGGGGAAGAAATAAAAGATTAATCTTTTAACTAACTTTTGGGATTTGGATTCCATTTAACTCTTTTGGCTTGCCATCTTGAAATGGAAATAGTCCCAATACTGTTTGCCAATGGATTGTATTTAAAGGCACCTTCCTTTGACTTACTGTAGACTTACTTCTGATGCTAACACAATTTCAGTGTCCTCTCAGACTGCCTTTCACCCACGTCCCTTTGTTTTTAGAACTCCATCTCACTACTCAGAAGACCTAACCCTCTTTCCCATCCTTGTCTTGTTATGTTTTTGCACATGAAGGCAAAACCAAGTCTTCCTTCCTTTTATTTCTGATAAACTCAGTTGCTAATGAAAATTAAGAAAATCTCTATTACCATCTACAGTTGTAAAATTAAAAATTATGCTTCCATGTGAAATGTCTATATCTTTCTTTAGTTTTGTTTGTGAATCACATATCACATTAAAATATTTAAGTGTTGCCTATCTTCCCATCAGAGGGGCAGAAGGAATTGGTAAAATCTTACCTGATTCCTTGGTGAGGAAAGCCATCATCTCCACTTGAAATAATTCACTAAAATATTCAGGAGCAAGGGTCACTCGTCACAGGAACTTGTACCAACAACTACAATGCTTCCTAAGTATGTTACTAAACTACATGGCACATACTAAAAGTATGTCACGAATACAAGTGCAGTATGTCACACATACACCATAAATGAAGAGCTCTTATCTCAACATAAGTCCAGAGGAGGCTAACGATAGAGGTTTTGGAATGTTTATCTGTGAATGCAATAGAAATACTGACAGACATTTCAGTCACATATAAAATATTATCATCAGAGTGCACTTTAATTAAAGTACAAACTATATGGCTTTACTTGGTCTGCATTTCCACTATAACATTTTTACATCTTTTTATAATTCTCTTTGTGCATTAGAGATTTTCTTTCCTTTTTTAAAAAATTTTAATAGCATATTATTGTTGAGGTACATTGTGACATTTTAAAAAGTGCTTACAATATCTTAGTTAGATACACTCCCCTACATCTTTCTCTTTATTTCTCATCCCCCTTCTTAAAACAATTTCAACAGGGCTCACTGTTCCATTTTCATATGTGAACACATAGTACTTCCACTGTATTTACCTTCCTTCACCCTTTCCTTATGTCCTCCCCGCTTCCACTAGTACCAACCTCTGGAAATATATATATATGTATGTGGTAACCCAAATTGGTTCATCCCCTCCATTATTCACCTTTTACCTTAGTGCTCTTTTATGGTGATGTCAACAGGTTTGAATTTTCCATATTCATACTTGTATAGAAAGTACATCAAACATATTTACCTTCTTTACTTCATTTACCCCACCTCCTCTCATTTAGTGCCCTCTCCTTAGTGTGACCTGTTTTATATTCTTGTCCTTCATTACTTAGGTTACTGTTCATTGTTCAGTGGGATTTGCCTTGGTATTTTACCAGAAAATTTATTGTGTTTAGTTCTTAATCCAATTTGTAGATTAGTTTATTTAAAGAATCTGCTAATTTGCATATGCATGACCTAGGGAAACAATCTCTTCAAGACTTTACCTTTCACCTCAAGTAGCAACTTCTACCCTAGAAGAGATGAGTCAATTGTCATATTTTCATCTACCTCAATAGTTTGAAGTATTGTAGCTCATGCAAAATGGCTTGTTATTTTGGTTCAGTGACTTTGGAAGCTCAATGACTTCATCTTATAAATAACTAAAGTTGACCTTGTTTTGTGATTGAAATGAGGGGCAGGTTTCATTGACCCTTTGATTTTCAAGTCCCTGGTGGTATGGATGATATTCATAATCCTTTTCAGCCTCACTCTGCCTGTACTCTTTGAAGCAAACCATAATGTGTTGACATCTGTGACCTGTTACTTGCTAGCAGTTCTTCAGCTGTAATGAACTGTGCATATTCACGGAGGATGGAACCTCTCTTGTGCTCTGTTTTATTTCACTCCCTTTCCTTTCCAGACATCTCCAAATTTTCCCCCAGCATGTTTCTAAATCATTTTTGGACATTTACTTCTCTAATGTTAGAGATACTCCTAGTACTAAACTGTTCTGCTTTAAAATCAGTATAAATACTGCTTTTGCTCCCAACATGTAATGTTTTAAAATTACCTGAATAAGTACTTGAAACCAGTCTGTCTTAATCTTATTATATTTCCTAGATTTTTTTCCAAAAAAATATTAAAATAATTTCAGATGTATGTATAAAAGATATAATTTTATAAAATACCCTCTTATGAAATTATTTTTCATTATTTTCTTCCTGTTCTAGTTTTCTCATTTCTGACTTTCACAATGGATTATTTTTATTGACTGTTATAAATCAATTATAGGACTAGAATTCACATAATGGTGTCACAATAAAATATATAACAATCATAATTCTAAGACAATAATGCTATTTTCTTTAAAGAGGGTAACATAATTGGACATCTGGTTCAGTAGTAAATAGTTTTAAAAAAATAAATGAGTAAATGTATCCCAGTACTTTTTATCTGACCTTTTATGCTTTTCAACTATGCTGTCATGTAAAAATGTGATGTATACAAGTACACATCATAAATGATATGAAGCTTTCAAATCAATGAATTATGCATCTGTATAAATGAATTAAACTTCTTAGTGTTATTCCTTTCATTGTTTATTGGAAATGAATTGCTTATGCTAAATATCATGTTTTCCTTTTTAACAAAAGTAGGAGATTTAGTAGTATTCTTTTTAATAAGAAAATTTTTCACTAGCTAACTTTATAAATATTCTCAATTTGCACATCTGGCAAATGGCCATAATAATAAAACAGATCCTCACAAATATTTCTCACCAGTGTTTTTATAAATAAGATTTTCTCCAGCCAGCTCCATTTCATCCAAACTCGGTGTCTTTTTTTTTTCCTACAATTGGAAGAGACTTTGATTACTTTAAAAGTCTGTAGAGAGAGGTAGGACACCCATAATAGTTTTCTACTCATAGCTGTTTTCTTTAAGCCAGTTTTATTTCTATTTTTTTCCTCCAATCACTAGTTTCTGATCAGAGGATCATTTTCCTTGCTTTATTCATTATTTTGCATAATTGCTTCCTCTCTCATGCTACTGTGCTAATAAGTGTCTGATGTATAAGAGGAAGATATCTGCTCACAGGAAGGGTAAATCTGTTTATTCAAGCAAAGAAATATATTTGGGAACAAAATTCAACATAATTTCATCAAGTTGCATGGTAATATTGGAGCAAAGCTCCTTGTCCTTTCACACCTTACAAATGAATTCATAATGGAGGTCATATCCTGATGTCCAGAAAGCATAGTCTATATTTGCACTCTGTTACTTTGTGAAAAATAAATCTGCCAATGAACAGCTTGTATGAATATTAAGCAACAACAAAACACACATTTACTGTAAATTTTTACCAGGTCGTTCATTTCACACATAAGATAACATGAAAGCTTCAAGCAAACTTGCTTCCCCATTTGTGTTTTGTGAAGGTTGTTTGATTACCACGGGCGTGTGCCTCCACCTCCCCGGGCAGTAATCCCACTGAAGCGTCCCAGAGTGGCTGTCACAACCACTCGCAGGGGAAAAGGAGTCTTTTCCATGAAAGGGGGATCAAGATCTACCGTCAGTGGGTCATCTTCATCAGGCTCTAAATGTAAGTAATGTTCTTTATTTTATTTCCCTTTAGAGAAAAGTAGGAATAACCATTATTGCATGAATGGCTACAGTCAATAAATTACCCAGGTAATTATTGCCGAGGCACTGAAAATGAGAAATAATTTCAGCTGTCCACTGCATTGTATTACAGGAAAAGACAGACAAAAACATGACAGATAAAAACCTAGAACCAATTTTAGAAGAATTTTATCACAGCAAATAACATTGTACTCAACCTGCTTAGCTTGTGATATTGTAAAGTCGTGAAATAGAGCATGCTGCTTTTAATAAGGAAACACTCACTTGAAAAGGGAGTCTTTTCATAGAAACATTATGTAAAATTAGTGTGGTTTTGAATATTTGAGCACTAGGATAATTAGGATAAAAGTAGGCAAATATACAGTAGAAATGTTAAACGCATAACTTACTATATTATTCTAAGTTGTATTGAAAACATTTCATATGAAAAATGAAACACTATTCATATAATTTCACATTAATCAATAAAAAGTAGAGATGCAAACTTACCAACTAAATATACTGCTAAATTTTTATATGGACAGACTCAGAAAATCTCTAATTTTTATTAGTATATTATTCCTAAAGAAAGGATAACAAAATTTCCTGTATTCCTTGAGATTCCATTTAGAATAGAAGTAGACAATAAGCTATAAAATTGGGAGTGGGTTGTGATTGGTGCTACCTGTCAGAAGTGACACTTATGCAGAAACCTGGAGAAAGTGAGGGTGTAAGAGAGAAAACTCTATCAGATGCAGTGTTTTGAACGGAGGGAATGGTGAGTGCAGAGACCTGGATGTTGGAATAGTCAAGGCAGCCAGGGCAGAGACAGCAAGGCCACAGAAGTGACCTACAAGTATTGATATGATCAGAGGACAAGTCCCATGGCAGCTTGGTAGCTATTGTAAGGATTTTGTATTTACTCTACATACAAACCTTTTTTTAAAAAATTGTTGTGCTGGGTGTGATACATTGTGGCATTTACGAAAGTTCTTACAATGTATCAAATATATCATACTTGAATTCACCCTCTTCATAACTTTCCTTTATTACTCCCCTCCCCCATTCCTAGAATAGTTTCAGCAAATATTATTTTTACATTTACATATGTGTGTATGAGGCAAATACTTTTATTCTACTCTTATTAATGAGAGAATGTAGGAGATCATGTAGCTAGTAAATGGTAAAGGCAGAATTACAACCCAGGTCTTTTCAGTTTCATGCCTGTGTTCTCTCTGCTATCAAACATTGTTAACATAGTTCAGGAAGGTACTAATGCTTCTAGAAACTCTAAGGTTTGGTGTGCTAAGAATCTCACTGAGAATTCTACTATGCTAACATAACCTCAATACCAAGCAAAGTAAGTGAATTTTTAGTTCTCTAATCCAGTCTACTCTGTGGATAGATAAATAGGAAATCCTTTTTGAGTCTTAGAAAGAAAACAAAATATTAGTTTCTGTTGCAGTTACTAAACACTCTACCAGAGATCAAACCCCAGTATTGTCAAAATTAAAAAAAATAAACTCTACCCACACTAATTTATACTCGATCATTGTCAAGAGCAAAGAAAGTTTATGATTTCATTTCATTGTAGAAAAGTGAACACTGAATTGCCTGCTGGTTTATACAGTATTTTTCTGCATTGGTAATATTAATGTCAAATCAAAAAATCTAGAGCATCATGTATTCTTTGTCTTGTGATCAGTTTCAAAGCACTATTGATCAACTGTGCATTATTGGCATTTGGCTGGAAGAATCATTGCATATGTCCTGAGCTTGGCAAAACATGTAACATTACTGACCCCCAAATCCTATACCAATGTTTGTAATTACAAAATGATTATGCATTTCTAAATGTTTCATAAAGAAAGGGTACCACCTTGTTTAGAGCTATTGACTTAGAAAAATACTTGGCTTATCTTGGGAGCATTCTCTGGAAATGCCACTGTACAAGGCTCAACCACTCAGTTGCCATGAGTCACTGAGGAGAGTCTGAGAAGAGTAGTGGCTTTTGGAAATTATTTGAGGTAAATATCTCAATGTTCAAATGGTTAAGATGGTTTTGGTCTCTTTTTTTTTTTTTATTTCTAACTTTAAAACTCCCCTTTCAGGATCTTATTAGGAATCTCTTGGTTCTGTAATAATTAGATTTTCTAAATGGACCCAGAGCAGAATACATTTTCTCCTCATATTGTAGAACTGTGTGTAGTGCTAGATTGCTGATTGTATTATCCATATCCTCTTTAGAGTTGCTTTTCTGGTAGCAGATTCATATGTCAAATTCTGAAACTGAAATCTTCTACCAGGACAGTGATTTTATGAAGTGGTTCTCTTTTCTTTTTTTTTTTTTTTTTTTTTTTGAGGTATTGTTTTATATCCCACATTCCTTGGGTATTTTCATATATAATTGTTTATAATCATGATATTAAAAGAAAAATAATAGCTCATGCTTTTTAGTGTTTATGGCAAGTACTGTTTCAAGTACTTTAAAGATTATTTTATTTATTCTCCCAAAATACCCAATAAGTGATGTATTATTATCATTCCTATTTTATAGGTTAAGAGAATAAAACATAGAAACATTAAGAACTATCCCAAAACTCATAGTATAATAAAGCCAAGAATCACAGCCTAGAAGTCTGGTTTAGGATGCAAGGCTGGTTCAGCCCATGCCTTTTCAGCAGCTTGTCTTCTGGGAGAATTGTAACTTTTGAATTATATCTTATCTCATTCAATATTTTTGACCTTGTGTTTTATTTTTCTAATTTTTTTTATCCTTCTCATATGACTCTCTTTTGTTATTCACTTCCTTCATATAGCCACTTGTTTTCAACCTTTCTGTATTAGTTTCCTAGAAATGCTGTAATAAACTCCCACAAGCTGAATTGCTTAAGGCAACAGAAATTTGGAGGCATTTTTTGGTCTGCAGAGACACTACTGCACCTTCTGCTGTCACAGTCACATAACCGTGCTCCAGTGTCTTTGTGTTGTTCCTGTCTCCTCTTATAAGGATACTAGTCTTGTTGGAGTAAGTGTTACCATAATGACCTCATATTGACTCTATGTGCAAAGATCACTTTCCAAATAAGGTCACATTCACAAGTATTGGGGGTTAGGATTTCAATATCTTTTGAAGCAATACATTTCAACCCATAACTCTTTGTCATTTTATTATTGTATATTTCCTTAAAACAATATATATCTGAATTTGCTTTGGTGTAGAAATTTGGAAATCTGTTTTAATATGGAATTTTAACTCTTTGACATGTATTTAATATATTCAGCTATGTTCCTTTCATCCTTATTTCAGATATGTTTGTGATTGCTTTTGTTTAAGGATTATTATGGCATTTTTATTAATATTTTCTAACTTCAGTTGTACCTCCACATTATCCACTCTTTTTAGTGGGTTGTCTTTCTCAAACAAACAAACAAAAAATCTGTGTTCTTTTAATTGCATGTGTTTTTGTAGAACTCTTTGACATCTGTGTCCATCAAACTTTTTTTGTCTTTCAGGCATTAAAGGACTAATACCCTGGGAATTTTATTTTATTTATAGTAGTTACCTTGGACCTCCCTTTTGACATATGAGAAGGCATCTTTATCTCAAGTGTAAACTGACATTGCCCACTTGACAGTGCATCTGCCATCCATAAACTTCTCTAGAATCAGTGGGAACCTCAGACTCTCTACCTACAGCAGGGTGCTAGCTACCATCCTGCACTTTATTCTGGGGGATTTGGTCACTCCGCGTCTCTCCAGCAGCCCAAGGACAAGTAATGTTTCTTCCTGACTTTCAGCAGAGGCAGGGTCCTGTCCAAATATGTGTAACTGCAGACTTTCTCTCTGTGTCCCCACACGTAAGTGTAATGCCACATTTACACCTTCCACCAACCGACACAGGCTCATAGCAGTAGGAGGATGGTTTTGCAGTTTCCATGTCAGCCAGAATTTATTTTATTCTATTCCATAATTTCATCTAGTCGAATGTTTTTCAATGTTGAGTCACCCCAACATGGAGTACATGAGAGTTTCTAGCCCTCAAAAGTCTCCAAGTATTAGGAAAAGTCTTTCATTGGCATAATGAAATTATGTTTTGAGACAGGCGATTTCCAAAGCCAGCTCCTTGGAGAAGCATTCTAGATGAGCTAGCTTTACAAGTTGTCACTTACTACATGTAAGATGAAATTTCTTTTAAGTCCATTGGTGGATAATGCACAAACACAAGATTTAATTTGGTCTTCTCTTTCTGGTTTTGTGTGACAAATGTGGCAGTCTTGGCAGAAGGCAAAGTCTGAAAATTAGATGACTAAATACAAACCAGAGATGCTCTGACTGGAAATGTAACAAAAATCATGACTGCGTGTTCTGCTTAGGAGAACATTGGCAAACTATACTATATATACATATATAGATCATATATGTAGAAGTATTCTTTATTTAACAGTACATTCATAATTAACCTGTTTTCCAGGAGTAACAATGATTTTCAAACTCAAATCACAAATGAACATTTAAGTAAAGTATAAAATATTCCATATTAACACTGACAGAAACGGAATTAATTTTTACTGATATATGTATTTATATTAATATATTCACTGCTCTTTTATTAATTGTCACTTCCCATTATTTAATGCCCTAACAAGTTCAGAAAAGGAACTCAATATTGTAGATTGGAAAATTTGCTTTTTCTTTTTTCAGAATTTTTAATATGGCTGTATTCTGCTGAAGTGAAAAACTGTACAAAGAAAAGTATACTGTGATAATTTGTCAAAGAATACCAATAACCCTTTTAAGTAGATTGTTCTTTTAAAAAAATCAGACTTCCACTATGTATTTCTGTCCCTTTCCCAATCAATTTAACCTACAACTATGAGGTTAATTATCATTATTACTATTATTATTATAGAATACCATAGTAGTTAAGACCATGAAATAAGAATTTGTTATATCTAGAATTCAATCATATCTCTGTCA